CTACGGCACGAGAAGTGCAAAAACGCATAATCGCACCGGTCCGCCTGGTGCGTTCCAGCCTGGGTTGTATTTTATTATTTAGGCTGGGGGCTAGGGAGGCAAGGTGAGGACATCGCCTTTACACTACCAAACCATAAAGGAGTTCATATCACATGGCCGAGCTGTGTTTCCACAACCTCTCACCCTCTCTTCTCGCACTCTCCAACCCTGAACCCCCTGGATTGAAACATCAACCAGAACTTCCCTCTTCCCTACTTACTAGCGCCAAATTCAACCTGCCCAGCGTTCGAGGGTAGTGTTACCCGCTACCACAACCGAAACCGAGCCGAGTTTTAGCAGTTGCCCAAAATTTTTAGATGCATGACCTTCATACAGTAAATAACCCACCCTCACCTCTTTAGCCTGTACCCGCACCGCTGAAGTTAGGAGCAAAATTTCAGTCCTCTACTAAAAAATTATTTAAAGCCAGCGGTCAAAGTGCAAACAAGATCAACCTTTAACAGCATAACAAACAACACAAAACTTTGAAAATTCATCAACTTTAAATAAAAATTACAAATTTCAACTTCACAGCGAGCGATATCCCGCGCAAGTCACGACTTCAGAAATCCAGTAACTTTTGGATCGAATTAAGGAAAATTTTTGCGAAAATAAAAAAACTAGTATTTCTCCAAAACCATGAGCGCTAACACAATGTAGCAGAAAGTAAACAAAAATGGTACCTGGTCCCTTTGGACAGTAAAACGAACGACAGTATGGTCATTCGGCTGACCACTAGGCGAAGGAGCGTTCTTCGAAGCAAATAAGGTTGTTAGGTGCATAACTGAGCAGAAAGATGCACTAAGATCGTAAAATATTGAATTTTGGAGGCATAAAGCCTGGATCACTTTTTTTGAACTGTCTGTGTGGAAATTTCATTCGCACAAATCCTGGATTTCAGCGCTTGCTTGCCAAGATATGCATTTCCGCTCCTGCATTCTCATCAAAAAAAAAAAAAGACCATCGGCTACTTTTAGAAGTCTATCATCAAACTGGCTATTCTAAATGGGCCAAGAATTAAAAACCACTCCAGAACCTCTCCCCTCTGAACATCATACGTAACCTGAAAGGAACAATATCAGCCTGCCCATGTCGACGGTTTACTTTTCCAAAGGTTGTTCGCAAGCAAACTGATGGCGATTTTGACTCCTGTACATGCCTTACTACGAAAATGGTCCAGGAATCGCAACGAAATTTCGCCACTCAATTTAAT